AAAAAAAAAAAAAAAAAAAAAAAAAAAAAAAAAAAAAACTCCCTTAGTGATTTGTAATCACTAGCAGGTAACTAAAAAAAAAAAAATCCTTTTTTTGTCTTAGAAGAAATGTGGGAAAACAGAACCCATTCTGAATGTCAGGTCTTCACTCCTGACCTGTGTGCTGCCTTAGGCAAATTCCTTAACCACATCAATACAATGTGAGTAATAACTACCTTGAAGGGCTATTATAAGGATTAGACATTGCAAAGTATCTAGTACTGTGGCTGACATATAATTGCTTCCTAAGAAATGGTGGTTATTATTTTCACTGTAATTCATATTCTAACAGCTATGATCTTTTTTTTTCCAGATGACATGATCTTCCTCTTTGTGCATGTTATAGTACTTTATATATAATTGCCCAAAGCTGGAAACATCCCTGTTCTAGGTTGTATTTTATCCTTCCCACTCCACTGAAATATGCTCAAGTTCCAACCCCAGAACCTAAGAATATGACCTCATTTGATAATAGGTTATTTTAGACGTAAAGTTTTGATAAGGTCATACTAGAATGGGCCTCCAATCTGATTGGTATCCATACAAGAAGAGGGAAATTTGGAGACAGATATGCACAGATGGAAGATGGATGTGAAGACACACTAGAAAAGATATGACCACTGAGGCAGAGACTGGAGTGATATATCTACAAATCAACAAATGTCAAGGATTGCCTGCCAGTACCAGAAGCTAGGAAAAACCAAGAGTACTCTCCTTACAGTTTCCAAAGGATGCATGGCCCTGTCAACTCCTTGATTTAGTACTTCTTGCCTCCAGAGCTATGAGAAAATAAATTGCTGTTGTTTTAAGCTACTGAAGTTTTAGTATTTTGTTATGGCATCTCCTATGAAACTAATACAAACCCTAATATCCTTCAACAGATGGATGTAAAACAACTGTAGAATGATCATGCAATGAAACGCAGCATGGGTAAATCTCAAAACATTCTGAGCAAAAGAAGTCACTCTTCAGAAATTATGTCTTGTATAATTCCATTTATGTGATATTCTGTTAAAGGCAAATCTATAGTGAAGAAAGATAGATCAGTGTTTACCATAGGTTGGGGTTTGTTTGAGTAAAAAGGGGAAGCATGAAGGAAATTTGGGGAGTTATGAAACTACTCTGTATCCTGATTGTGGTAGTAGTTAACCTGAATCTACATGTGTTAAAACTCATTAGACTGTGTGATGAGTTCATTTTATGATATGTTAATTTAGATATTCAAAAAATGGAAATACCCACCCACCCATGCACATGTATATACTCAAATGTTTTTCTTTAAAAAAAAAATACTTTTAAAGAAATTTCTCATCTTGATTTCTGTCAGAAAGATTACTTTGTGGGTACTTTGCCACATCAACCCTTTTGTTCTGTGGGCCTGTTTTTCCACCTATAAAAAGAAGAGGATCTATCTAGAGCAGCAATTTTCATTCTCTGCCCCTCCCCACTTCACTTCCTTTGTGGGGTGTAGGTGTGGGGATGGGTATGGGGAGAAAGGGTTTTTGAACTTCATGGGGGCGGTTGGGGGTCTGCTTCATCTCCAGCAATTGTGCTTTTGTTATTTGTCAAAAAAAAAAAGAAACCTCTGGATTAGAATAACTGGACCCAAGTCAGAGCTCCAGGCATTTGGGGAATTTGAACAATCCTGTATTCCAGGGCCTACTTGTGAGGCTCACTCATTCAGCTCTTTGGCAAGTGCTCTCCAAAGGATCCTGGTGGTTAGCAAGTCTAGGGTGCTGACTCTGTCAATGATTCTAAATAAGGCCTGGGGTGGGAGGGTGGGGGTCTAAACACAAAAGAACCTCTGAAAAGGCTCTAAATCTAGGCTTCCTCTGAAGTGGTGTCTAAAAGGACCTTAAATCATTTGTTTTTATACATTGGATGATTACTTGGAAGAACATTTTGGAAAAAACAAAAGTCTGTGCACAAAGAGGGAGAAATGCCATTATAAGGATGAATGTGCTAACCCCCGGCCAAAGGAGCTAAAGAGTTATGATTGTCCTTTATTCTGAGTGTGTCAAGCACCCTCACAACAACTACTTCAGAGAAGGGCTGTGGTTGCTTTGACAGGAAACTGAGGCTCTGAGAGGCCCCAGCTCACAATGGCAAGAGATTATAGAGGTGACAGGGCTGGGTCATGTCCAGCAGATCCAGCCTTCCAGTCCAAGGTCCATGAGAGGAACCCCTGAGGTCTATTGTCAACACATGCTCTAGGAAACAAACTAATGTTCCTTTTCACAAAAGCTTGTGAAGAGCTCACTGAGGACATCTCGAGACTTTGCCAGCTCTCAAAAAAAAAAAAAAATGTTCTCAACTTCATAAAGTGGAATGGTTTCTTCAAAAACTAATATCTAAGCTGAGCATGGTGGTACATGCCTATAAGCCCAGCTACTCTGAAGGCTAAGGTAGAAATATAGCAAGTATCAAGTCAGCCTCAGCAATTTACTGACACCCCATTGCAAAATAAAACAAAAACAAAAACAAAAAAACTTACAGGGGGCTGGGGTGGGGTGGGGGTGGGGGTGGGGGGTTGGTAGCTCAGTGGTAGAGTACTTGCCTAGCATGTGCAAGACTCTGGGTTCAGTCCTCAGTATTGCAACACAACAAACAAACAAATAAATATGCTATAGATAAGCAGGGTTGGGCCACTGTGGTTGAAGGTGGTAGGGGAGACCTGAGGATGCCCGAGGGCTTCTGGAGCCTAGCTTGAAGGCTTCAAGGCCATTTATGCAGTAGGTTGGCACTTACTAGGAGAACTACAATGGTTGCTATCATGTCTAAGGCTCTGACTTTGGCTTGGGGTAAGTGGGGGACTCACTCCTGGATTCCTTAGCTTGTGTCAGGGCTCAGGATTCCTGTTCTGTCACATGCAAAAGGTGCTACTGGCAGGTCCATCTAAGCTGGGCATTACCTGCATTACCCCCTATTCCTACTAGGCCCCAGCAGCCTGACTTGCTCCTTACAACATAAGAAACATGTCACTATCTTATATCAAATGATTTTTATTCTTTGAAGATAAGAATTACTACATTAAAAACTCCAACTCCCCCTTTTCTTGCCCATCTACAAAGCCTCCTCTGATTTTCTTTACCAACCATACGCCAAAGTTCATGTTCAGTCCTGATGTAGGGTCCAGTACGATGTCAGGGGCTAGCTGGAATGGCTCACAGCGTCATCATCAATCCAACTTCCTTCTCATAGATGTCAGGGATCATTCCCATTGGGGAGTCAATCATGTGTACAGTATTCTTACTAAACAACTTGAATTCATAATGGATCAGTTGTTCCCAAAAACCGTTGTTGGGCCGAATAATGGGCCGGCATGACTTGGTCCACGTGTGGGCGTCCAGCAGGGACATGGCATGGTATTTCATGAGATAAGCGAGGCAGAGGGCAGCTGAACGGCTCACCCCTGCAGCGCAGTGGAGCAGCGTGCGGCCCTGTTTCATTTCCACGCTGTGGATGTGATCAGCAATAGGGTCAAAAAAGTCATAGAGGTGTGAAGTGGGAACATCCGCCACGGGTACCTGTACATATTGAATGTCCTCGAAGAATGTGTTTACTACCTCTACTGAGACATTGATGACCGTCGTGATGTGATTGCTGGACAGCATGTGTTTGTTGTTGGCAGCCACACCGTTACTGATGTAAAGGCTGCTGGTTATTTGGGACAGGTCATGGATGGAGGGCTGCAGGACCGCCTGAGATGGAAGGGGACACGAAGATGTGGCCATCAAAACAGCAGGTCAGCCGTCTCTCTGTATCAGGTTCAGGGCACCAACTTCACGAGGGACTTTAGGAAAGTAGCTTCTCTATGAAGTCTTGGGTAAGAGTCTGGGAGGAAAGAGGACCAGTTAATGATCACCACTGTCTACTTTTCCATCTTGTAGTCACAATCCCCAAGGACCCAGCGCTCTAGTTTCCATGGCAATAGTAGCAAGCCGAGCGCGGAGGACACACCCCCAGCCGAATCTTTAGAACTCGCTGCCCACCCCCGCCCCCATCTCTCTCATCGTTCTTCATAGTCATTTATGATTCAATTATCATTTTGTACTGAACACAGTATCTATGAGTGCTTCTGTTTCATTAGTGTTGAAGAACAGGACTTACATTTTCTTACAAAAGTATCATATTTTAAGTTGGAGAATAATATTTGGCTCACGTGATATGCTAATCTCTATAAAACTGCAGCAAGTTATGGGTTTGGCTGAGCTTGGTGGACTGATGGGATATTTCTTTGTTGATTGTAACCATAGAATTGTATTCGTGCTTACAAACAGCTCAGGGCTGGCTGTAGGGAGCGTTACTAACTGATTTATAGCCCTTTATCTATGGTGAAGTTGGCCTATAGTGGGCAGTTGTGACTAATTTAGCAGTGTCACAGTCTATTTATACATACAGCTCAAATGATTTATCACTTGATTCTACTTTATTACCTGAAACGACAGCTCAAATTATCTTGTCTACTTTCTTCAAAAAGTATGCCCACATGCTTTGTAAACTACAAGTCACTTTGACCATCATCAAAGACATCTTCTCAGTAATATTGAACATTCTGGAATAAGATAATGCTGCATTGTAATTGGGCTCAAAATGATTTTTTAAATGCTACCTAATATTTGCATTTTCTTGCAGCTGAAATTTTTGACTGAAAATTGAAAAGAACCAAAGCCTAAAACCAACAAATTGTTTCACAGAACAGCCAGAGATTCATATCCTTTACTCCCATTCCATCATTGTTTTGGTTTATGTCATTATGAACAAAGATAAAATAGATGCCAGTCTGTTAAGATGGTCAGGGAAATGATAACCTCAAAACACAACACATTTTTCTTTTTCTCAGTTGTCATAATCAAATTTATTTTACATTACTTAAGCTGTCAGTTCCCACAAACCTATCTAGAAGAAAACAGAAAACAAATACCAGATAAATATGAAAACTACTTATCAGGGACAGCTTAATTTAGCTAAAATTATTTAAATGGCTTTAGTAAAGCTCAGTGGGAGAGTATGTGCTTAGCATGCACAAGGCCCTAGGTTTGATCCCCTCCATCAAAAAGGAAAAACAAACCAGGTGCTGTGGTGTTCACCTATAATTCCAGCTACTTGGGAAAATGAGGCAAGAGGATCAAAATTTCAGGGCCAGCCTAAGCAATTTAGGGAGACTCAGGCTCCAAATAAAAAGGATTGGGAGTACAGCTCAGCGGTAGAGTGCTTGTCTCACATGTGCAAGAGCTTCAGTTCAATTCCCAATACCACAAAAATAAAGTAATTAATCTGAAATAAATAAATAAATAAAAGGGGTTAGTCTAACAGTTGAGAAATGGCACCAGAAGGTGCTTTGTAATAATCTAAGGCCTGAGACGAGTTTTAGAGCCTAGTTATTTAATAAATAAATGCTTCTTAAACTTTAAAAATGTAGTAATATTGACTGAAATAATTTCAGACACTGTTCTCAAAGACAAGCATGAAAGCCTTGTGCAGTGGCACACACCTGTAATCCCAGCGACTCAGGAGGCTGAGACAGGAGGATTGTGAGTTCAGAGCCAGCCTCAGCAAAAGCGAAGTGCTAAGCAACTCAGTGAGACCCTGTCTCTAAATAAAATACAAAATAGGGCTGGGGATGTTTCAAGTAGTCGAGTGCCCCTGAGTTCAATCCCCAGTAACCCCCCCACAAAAAAAAAACAAGCATGACTTGTATTAAATAAATTTATTTATTTATTCTTTCAGTCAATATTCTGTGACACACTTTAGCCTGAAGGATTTGGATATTTTAAAATTCCAGTATGGGGTGTTCGTCCCTCAGTTTGGAAACAGGTCACTTTTAGACTCCACTTATCTCTAGCTTTCCTAGTTATTCAGTGAGAAAAATGTATAAGGGACTTGCCCAAGAACACCCCCTTCTTTCCACCATTCAGAATAGATGTGGATGTTAAGAACTAGCTAATATTTAGATTTCTCAATTCAGTAGTCAAGGTATTTTTCAATCTCATATAAACTTGCCTTTCAAATCTCATTCATTCATCAGATTTTTATTAAGAATCTTTTGTGTGTTAGACATTTTAACCTATGCAAATTCTCAGTTCTGACCAAACAAATGAAATATTCCCAGTTAGTACAAGATGTATATTCTTGGCTCCTCACATTTTCTCACACCATTCCACTCTCCAGAGAAAATTTACTCCTCTCTGCTTCCTGAGTCCTATCCAGGCTTCAAGACTCAGCTGGATTAATTTAAGAAGATGGGCTCAGAATTCAATCTGTGTCATATGCAGTTCTTTTTTTTTTTTTTAGAAATTTTAATATTTATTTCTTAGTTCTCGGCGGACACAACATCTTTGTGGGTTTGTGGTGCTGGGGATCGAACGCGCTACCGCCTGAGCCACATTCCCAGCCCTATATACAGTGACTTATTGTATTTCTTCTTCTGTTAAGTATATATCCAGTTTCTTGGCCCACTTATTGATTGGGTTGTTTGTTTTTTGGTGTTAAGTTTTTTTGATGTTGAGTACTTTATATATCCTGAAGATTAGTGCTTTAGCTGAGGTGCAGGTGGTAAAGATTTCTCCCATTCTGTAGGCTCTCTCTTCACATTCTTGATTGTTTCCTTTGCTATGAAGAAGCTTTGCAGTTTGATACCATCCCATTTATTGATTATTGATTTTATTTCTTTCATTTTAGGGATCTTCTTGAGGAATTTGGTTCCTAAGCCAACATGATGGAGATTTGGGTCTGCTTTTTCTTCTAGTATGCATAGAGTCTGTCATCTAATGCCTAGGTCCTTCATCCACTTTGAATTGAGTTTTGGGCAAGGTGAGAGTTAGGAGTTTAATTTAATTTTGCTGTGTATGAATTTCCAGTTTTCTCAGCACCATTTGTTGAAGGAGATATCTTTTTTCTAATGTATGTTTTTGGTGCCTTTGTCTAGGATGAGATAACTGTATTTATCTCTGTGTTTTCTATTATATTTCATTGGTCTTCATATCTGTTTTGATGCCAATACCATGCCATTTTTATTACTATATCTCTGTAATATAATTTAAGGTCTGATATTGTGATGCCTCCTGTTTGATTTTTCTCACTGAGGATTTCTTTGGGTATACTGGGTCTCTTATTTTTCCAAATGAATATATATCATAACTGCTTTTTCTATCTTTCTATCATTGGAATTTTATTATGAATTGTATGGCACTTTTGGTAGTATGGCCATTTTGACAATATTAATTCTGTTTATCCAAGAACATGGGAAATCTTTCCATCTTCTAAGGTCGTCTTTAATTTCTTTCTTTAGTGTTTTGTAGTTTTTATTGTAGAGGTCTTTTGCCTCTTTTGTTAGATTGATTCCCAAGTTTGATGTTTGTTTGTTTGTTGAGGCTATTGTGAATAGGATAGTTTTCCTGATTTCTCATTCAGCTGATTCATCATTGGCGTACAGGAACGCAACTGATTGTTAATTTTATATCCTGACACTTTGCTGAATTCATTTATGAGTTCCAGAAACTTTCTGGTGGAGTTTTTTTGTGTCTTCTAAATATAGAATCATGTTGTGGGCAAATAGGGGTAGATTGAGCCCTTCTTTTCCAATTCACATCCCTTTCATTTCTTTCTTTTGTCTAAGTGCTCTGGCTAGTGTTTCCAGGACTGTGTTGAATAGAAGTGGTGACAGAGGGCATACTTGCCCCAGGTTTTAGAGGAAATGCTTCCAATTTCCATTTAGAATGATGTTCGCCTTGGGTTTAGCATATGTAAATTTTACAATGTTGAGATATCCTACTATCTCTAGTTTTTCTAGTGTTTTGAACATGAAATAGTGCTGTATTTTGTCAAGTGCTTTTTCTGCATCTTTTGAGATCATCATATGATTCTTTTCTTTAAGTCTGTCGATGTGATGAATTGCTTTTATTGATTTTCCTATGTTGAACCAACCTTGCATCCCTGGGATGAACCCCACTTGATTGTGATGCACTCTCTTTTAAATATGTTTTTATTTGCAATTTGCCAGAATTTTATTGAGAATTTTTGCATCTATGTTCATCAGGGATATTAGTCTGAAGTTTTCTTTCTTTGATGTGTCTTTGTGTGATTTTGATAGCAGGGTGATACTAGCTTCACAGAATGAGTTTGGAAGGATTCCCTCCTTTTCTATTTCATGGAATAATTTGAGAAGGATTAGTGTTAGTTCTTCTTTGAATATCTGGTAGAACTTGATAGAGCATCTGTCTGGTCCTGGGGATTTCTTTGTTGGTAGGCTTTTGATGGAGTCTTCAATTTCATTGCTTGAAATTGATCTGTTAAAATTTTCTATGACCTCCTGATTCAATTTGGGTAGGTCATATATCTCTAGAAATTTGTCGATGTCTTCAAGATTTTCTAATTTATTAGAGTGTAAATTTTCAAAATAGTTTCGAATTACTGTTTGTATTTCAGTAGTGTCTGTCATGTTATGTCCTTTTTTATCACGAATTTTAGTAATTTGAGTTTTCTCTCTCTTTCTCTTTATTAGTATGACGAAGGGTATATTAATTTTGTTTATTTTTTCAAAGAACCAATTTTTTGTTTTGTCAAGTTTTTGGGTTTTGTTTGTTTGTTTGTTTCAATTTCATTGATTTCAGTTCTGGTTTTAATTATTTTCTGTCTCCTACTGTTTTGGTGCTGATTTGTTCTTTTTTCTCTAGGGCTTTCACAAGCAATGTTAGGTTATTTATTAGTTGACTTTCTATTCTCTTAATGAATGAGCTCAATGCAATAAACTTTCCTCTTCGAATTGCCTTCATAGGGTCCCAGAGATTTTGATGTATTGTATTGTTATTCTCATTTACCTCTAAGTATTTTTTGTTTCTACCCTGGTTTCTTCTGCTATTCATTCAATAGCATATTATATAGTTTCCAGGTGTTAGAGTAGCTCCTATTTTTTAA